GACGTTGCGAAAACACCATTGTGCAGCGGAGACTCTGCGTGTGCATATATCAAAATCCTAGGCACGGTGACTTATTATCACTCCTAGGTACGCTATTTTCGACATCATTGGCAGGCGCCATTGCTGTTCTGGAAGGACCAGCACAGGGCCAGTAGTTGGGTCTCAAGACCCATTTGCGCAATAATGTTGGTGCTTCACGGCCAATCACACGAAACATAACTACAGATTTGGTCATATTGATCTTAAATCCAAAAGCCTGAAGAACCGTCAAAATATGTTGAAGATCACTCAATGCTTCAATGACTTGCTGGTGTGACTTGAACACCCATCTAAGGTGGATATCGTCAACATAGACGACGATATGATCTCGCAACCAGGCCAAAGAGTATCGTGCTTGCAAATCGACCAATATAAGAATCATGGTCAGGGTCCAAAGCAATGGGGCGTCTTTGGCGCCCTGCTTGATTCCGCGTTGGGCAATCACTTTACCTATGAGTTGTTTATAAGGAATACAATATTTATGAGGGGTCAACCATAATTGAATAAACCATGACTGAATAAGACTTAATAAATCAGGATCTAGATTATAGAGATCCAGGGCACGTATAAGACTAGTTGGCGGCTAACTGTGTCAAAAGCCTTTTCCATGTCAAATGAGACCTGAAGGCCTCCTGCCAGACCGAGGGCCCCAACACCATGCTTTGGCTGCTGACAGATTGATCGAAGCGTGCGACAATGGTCAGAAATAATCAAAAGGCAATCCCTGATCCCTCGCATTGGCAGATACGCATACAGCGGCAATCTTCTGAGCCTATCAAATGTGTGCTCAACAATCTGCTTGCATTGAATCCCAACAATGCTCTTGTTTATTGGGTGCTGTAGGCATATGGGCCTGAGTGCTTGAGGTTTGTTAGGTACCTTATTGCATTTCGACAGGAGATGAATCCACCCCGTGGTCCAATATTTAGGGGATTGGATGGGACCTACAACCCAAACTTGATGAAACTGTTGCATGAGTGGATCAATCAGATCCTCGGCAAAGGGCTTCCAAATTAGAGCTGGGATTCCGTCTGGAGCTAAGGCCTTGTGGCCGGGCAATGCCATCAGCTCAGCGAGCACATCCTGGCCAGTGAACGGGAGTCTGTCTAGGGTTCGAGTTGGAAAGGCAGGAAGGTCTGGGTCCGCGAGCAATTCAATATAATATTTCTCAATGGCTAAGACCTCCTGATGAAGTGGCAGAGGCATGCCATGATCATCGAACAACTGAATTCGGCGGGTGGGCTGTTTGGGACAAAGATGCCAGACCTTCCTGTACCAATCGAATGTCTTCCCTTGAAGGGCAAAATCATCTCCGTCTGAAAGGATCCTATCAAGCTTTGCTCTCTTGTTAAGGCGGCTTTGTTTACGAATGGCCTTTTGCAAAATATGGAATTGAGTGAGATGCCGCCAACACTGAAACAGGTCTCGAAGGCCGCGGCCTCGAAAGGCGAGGACCTGATGTCGTGCAATCCACATCCAGGCAGAGATCGATGGCTCATGGGTGGGAGTGGCAACCTTGGTTTTCCGCTTGGGAAAAAAGGCTATGCGCAGGTTACGAATGGTTGTTTCCATCAAAGGTGCATTCTCCTAGATATTCGTATCAGGATGAATGCAATATTGATGGATATAGGCACGAATTCGGGCCTCAAACCGTTGCCATTGGGATATATTATCTAGGCGAACTTGATGAAGGGCAAATCGATCGATATTATTAAGAGGAAGAATTGGCTTCCGAAGAGCATAGCATTTTGGGATCACCACAAACAGAGGGTGATGTCGTGGTCCAAGATGTCCAGAATTCCTTTCAAAGGCACGATCAATGGTGGATTGCATACGTCGATATTAAACCTGATTGTGGCCGACAAACACAAAATCTATTCGGAACCGATATATACCATATTCAAAAATAGGAACATATTTGTCTTTACAATGCAATGCAAGAACACTTCTCGATCCGTATGGAATCCAATTTGAGCCCATTCATCATGACTGCCAACATGAAGCCGTTCAAGAGGAAAGATCGTATTGAATTTCCCCATCAAAACCAATATATGATATCGGGGTATATAATTGAGAAATTGTTAAAAACACTTACAATGGGGACCCGTTTAGCCAGAAATGAAACAATACGCTTTTGAACATTCCAAGAATATTAATACAAAGCAATATAATCGTACGTGCGGTCCAGAAAAAGGTGAAATTATATCAACCTATCCTCAATATAAAAAATATATGCAATCTAATCTTTACGAATAAGAATCAAGATGGATATATGTCGAGTAAATGCAATGCCACTCCGGGGTCGTCCAGGAAATATTCAATAGATTTTTCGATGTATTCCAAATCATACACCGGATATCAAGAAAAGATTTCATTGATTTCTATTAAATAAAATATATCTATCGAAAAACCTCCTTAAATCGCCATGGGTTATCAATAACGAACAAAAACCCCTTCCGATACTCAATGTAATATCCATGTTGCAATGTTTTATAACAGATACGTTTATAAGATCTCTTAAATTATATTATGCGCGACCGAACGATTACAAAATCGTAGCCTCTTAAAATCCATATATATAACTTCGTAAAAGAAAAATTAATCATTTATCTAATAGCTCCACTCTCGTCTTGGAAATTTCAATCCTTATACCAATTATAAATCCGGCATAAAAAAATACATTAATATCCAAAATTCCTAGTTTCTAAATAAAAATAATATCGACCAATACATAATAAATTATTTATATCGAATTATTCTAGAAATTAACAATAATATATATTAATACGATCAACAAATAATAATCAAAATAAAAAATATATTAATAAGATTATAAAAAAATAACAATCATAATTTAAAATTAAGAAACTATTTAATTACTCTTATAATCAATATCATTATTCAATTTATTAAATTATTACACAATATTATAAATAGAATTACATATATTCAAATATATTTATTATATATTAATTAATATTTATAATATATTCTATATTTTCATATTTTTGTATATATCATAGTAGATCTATGATCTATATATATAAATTATTGTCGATTTATATTCAAACAATTCTTGATTGAATGGTTGTATTTTTTATTGATATTGAAGCCTTTTCCAGCCACTCCAGCACTTGGTGGGTGGACGAAACTGGGATTCTGGCCTTCCATTGAATCATTTGCCAAAGATAATATATTTGATTGCTGCCGGAAATATGTGGTGATAAACAACATTCTTTATCAAACATTGTTTGGATTGCCCCAACACTTAGGGCTGGCACACTAAATTGCAGAAAACTCGGGGTAGGAAATTCCTAGCCTAGGGTTATATAGGTCAGGTTGATGGTGAAGAGGACGATAACATCGCCGTGAAACGAGTTGCATGCTCGCATGCGAGGCACGCAAATGGAGCACTTTGCCATCCGCGCATCCAAAGGTGCAACGTGTTGTTTCGATGGTGCGGTGGGAAGGAGCAGGAGCAAAATCATTGGTCACCCATCAGTTTGAAACTTTTTCCGTGGGGTTGGGCTTCACTTCCCCAAATAAACAATTAGCTCCTTTAATGCAGGCCTGGCAAGATGATTTCCTGGAGACTCTTTATTCAATGCTTGGCTGCTTTATATATCTAAAATGTTGATTGATGGGGCGTTGTATTTCATCGCCTGTGGCATGGCCGCATTGTGTTTTCCTATGTTTTCCTAGACTTCTGCAGGTTCAGCCACTAGTAAGAGCTGACCCAAAAACGCAATGGTCACTGGATTGTGGATGGTGGGAAAAAGCACACTTCTCCGCAAGAACATCGCAAACAAATAGACACAAACCACATTTATATAGAAAACTTTTACGTATCAGGATAGAACATAACATAAGCACTGATACGGGTCCCCGCTTGGCTGGTCCTTTTAGGATTTAGACTGTGATCCTCGACACTTATCGGGCATTATTTGGTAGATCTTTAGCCATTTTCAGGGCCACGGACCTGGTCCTACGACCCAAACACTCTGATCTGCAGCCTGATCAGCCTGCTCCTGAAACATGCTGGGAGCTTAACTTATCGCGGCAAAAGTTGCACCCTTGAATCTATGTCCCACTTCCTCAGATTTCGTCTTCGCTCTCAAATCTCTCAACCTGACACATCGCTTGTCATCTACTCCCGCAGCCCGAAGGGCCGGCGAGTCTGGCCGAGCACAGAAGTCTTGGTCGTCCTAACGGACTGGCTCATCGAAACGACGTTTTGTTACCATTTTAGGGTCAACTTTGTCGGAGCTGCTTACACCTGCTTGGCAGCCTACTTTCCAAGTCTGAAGAACCAGCCCATGTTGTGATAGTCGGAAGGGCAAGGAACAACTTAATAATACATCTACTGCAACAGGAGCCACTGAGCATCTACACACATATTATCCCTCATGCACACACACACACACAAACTCCTGTTTCTCCATGCCAATTCATTGCCTCCATGTGAAGGTTGAAACACTTGACTTGCAGCACAATACACCTCATGTTTTTGCACGAGGTACCACATGTGCGGAAGGGGGATTGGAGCCATACATCGTCTGGGGGCCGATGGTGAGCCCGCCCGGGCTCTCTATGCTCCCCTCACATCGTTCCGTGAGATGACCATTTTTCAGCCTTTCCATGTGCAAGTGATACGCTTGAAGACTCTGAGGCCTTGAACATCTGAAAGTGAATCTGGTAAACACGAACAGACCGGAACGAAGGAGTGATAAACACTAGGGTTACTAGGGGGAGTACTGCAGCCAGCATTGCACGATCGCGCACGTGGTGCTGACAGAATCTGCTGCTCGAAACCATGCAAACATTGAACCCATATATATATATATATGTATGTATGTATGTATGTGTGAAATCTCATTACTCATTACTCATTACAAATCCCTAAAGACGGTCGAAAGTTTCCACTCGCAAAATTCCTTTGCAGACTCTGGTGACTGGAAGATCTACAAGGAAAAAAGGACTCCTGCAAGGTTTGCAGGGCCCACTTGCCGCTCCAATTTGTTCAAATAAGCTTTGATCACCAAGCGTGCGTAAGAGTGTTGTTGCGCTAGATGCTGAAGGCCTGCCTGTGCATCAATTGGATCCTGATGTGACTCGAGCACCTCACAAACCTGCTCTCGAATCCTGCAAAGGCAAAGCGGATCAAAGAAATGATCCAAATGTTCTGTTAGAATGACCATGCAAGACCTCTACGTTCGACGACCGCTTTCTGGCATCCTATTGGTGGTCAGAAGCAGAGTCTTCAGTTGTCTAGGATTGCCATCTCGTAGCTACAACAGCTACGTACAAGAAGACACGCACGGGCATTTCATGGCGTTTTAATGTTCCGGCGCGCCAGTCCTCTTGCGTCTTGTCACCTTGGGTCTGTTGGCGTCTTCTTTGGCATGCGTCAAGTGACAAAATCCACATCTGTTGCCCAGGCCACAGCCATAGTTGGAAAAGAAGAACACGCATGGATTGCAGTCACCGGTCATGTGGCCTGCTGCACCCCACGAACCCAACGGTGCCAGCTGCATGTCCGGCTGTTGTGGCGCCGGCGCCAGCAGCCGCACGTCCCGCCGCTGGAGCATCGCTACCTGAAGGTCAGGCTTTGGCTGAAGGCCAGGCTTCAACGGCACCTGTTCCAGGGTCGAATGCATCGATGTGATGGCTTGGTTTGCCACCACTTGACAAGAAATAAAGGGAACGTGGAAGCCGAGACATGTCCAGGGAGTCTGATCACATGAAAAGGAGCTTGTCTATTCCTTTTGTTGAATTGCAAATTTTGGAGAAGGGGCCAAAGGAAATGAACATAAGTGTTTTTGATTTTGAATTCCTGAGGAAATCCAAATGACACATCAGGAGCAGTATTGTTACTTTTTTGGGCCTCAGCCTCAGGGCAAAACAAATCCTTATTATTTTCCCCCTAAACAATTCGCGGACATCAACTCCAGGTGCCCTGCGCACTATCGCCTTGATACTTGTTTATTGCAAATCTTCAATCAACTTGTATATATAACTATGTATAGATATATGTTACATATACTTGATTTGCAACTGTAGTGTTCACACACATTTTGATGGAACGTCTTCAGCCTAGCATCTCGTGATCAAGCAACCATACAACAATCAAACGTACTGTTTACGGTGTTGGTTACCAAAACACCGGAGAATAATAAATCACAGCCGGAAGAACAACACTAGGAGATGAGACATAAATTAACATAATTATATAGTTGCCCACGGATTGATCAGTCGCCACGGTTATCTCTTCACTGTCTTCACAGCAGCATTGTCTTCGGTTTCATAACATTGTCATCGATTAGTCGTGTGATCAAAAGGGGGCGGGGGGTGGCGGGAGCGGGGGTATGTTCCATTTCACCTCGGGGTGCTGGAACCTGGACACTTAACAAATTAAGTGCATCGCCTCCGGGTTACGTTTCAGGTGTACAACCTGGAGATTAGTTTTTTAATGCACCCGCAAGCTTGTTGCAGCCCCCCGTGGCCAATCAAGAGTCAACATTACAGTATATTCAGCCTGTATTCCTTTGAGCTTCTAGTTGTTTGTGCCATTTTGTGCCATTGCCACTATCGTTGAGACTGTTCCAATCTCCTCTGTCTGAAGTCCTTCCTGCAAAAAAAGGAACTTATGTTGAAAAAAAAGGAGATGCTAAGTGCTAGGACCAATGGATGTTTCCTCTATCCCTTATGAGTTCCGATGGTATGGCGTTGCCCCAATTTGACCAAAAGCATGTATTGTTCAACGGTTTAACTAACAATCACCCATGTCCGGACCTTCTTTGAGCTACAAATGACTCCATCCGACTCAAACGACCGCCCTTGCCTGCACCTCATCTGCCATGGCAGTCTTGCTTTGTGGAGCCGAGATGCCGTGAAGGCGGTGTCGACGACGTGTCGACGACTGGGACGGCTCGCGCACGTGTCGACGCAAGTGGAGAGTTCTTCGTTCCTACCCACATGACACACAGAATACGGTGGACCGTATTAAGGTGAACAGCCACTTGACTCGACTTGACCATGTCAAAAGGACACATAGACTTCTGGCAAGCTATCCTGTGGAGCTCAGCAGTGCGGTTTTGCCAGTTGGCATGAGCAAAACCTAGCATCCAAAGGATGCATCGATTGTGAATGACTTTGATAGATTTCCAACAATCATGATGCCCATTGTATGCGCAACCTGGGTTTCCAGGACTTCATCATGCAAACCATCGCAAAAACCAACCAATTGTGTATTCAGCTTGTAAAGTCATTGTCTAAACACCACTCCCACACTGATTCCACACCCATCAGTTGGTAGTCCATTGTTGGTTCTTTCAAATTCCCTATGTAAACGTAGAGCGGAGGATGGGCAGCATGCCCCCCATGCTCTTCAAGGAATGTTCCAGACACATGTTTCCTTGACCAATTCATCATTGCGAAAGGGGCTGTGGACATCTGTGGACTGTAGCGAGATGAAAACACCTCTACTTGAAGATCGACAGAAGGGGGCAACGCCAGGCCACGCTCACGCCCGCTCGTCCGAAGCCATGCCACGCTCAGTTTCTCTGCCAATGTCTCGGTTCCAAATGAAACTTTGAAAGCACTTGCAACACAATGCACCTCTCACAGGGCAGGGCTCACAAAATCAGTCCTAGGAATTTGCAGGGTTTGATGAAGTTTCCCTCTTACAAGGGGTTTGGGATGTACCCGATGTACCATGTACCCGTGTCCCCACTTAAATTTGAGTCATACCCACGAACATCATCTCACCCACCTCGTGCTGAAAGTAGATCACAGCCTACTTCAAGGCGCAACTCAGATGACCGTTGGTCTGCGGATGGGCCTGCTGCCTCATTGATGCTGCACTCTTTGACCATGAACGTAAGAATGCGTGAAATGGGGCATTGGGAGCACAGAAGCATCACGAGACAGGAGACCCGGAACATATTGGAACAGATGGGAACAGGCAGGAAGGGAGTACTGCTGCACCGCTGGAGCATGCTGGAGCACTCCGCCCAACATTCGCTGCCGCACGCCTCATACCTTGAAGATGATGACACCGGGAGATTCCTTTTTCTTTTTCACAGGCTCCTGCTTGTCACTGCAAATTCTAGAGCTGAAGGGGTAGATTCAATGGTAAGACTCTACATACCGGAACGAAATGCAAAGACGGAGCGATAAACATTGGGGGAGTCCCGCAACCAGCGGTGCACAAACCTACTCCTACCGGCTGACGGACTCTGCTTTCGCTGGGAGGTGTGCAGGTGGCCACCACACCGAAACTCATGCCTTTCTTCCCAGGAGGATTTCTCGAATGATGTATCTCTTCTCTTGCAACTGGCCTTTTCATTGAAACAAGTGAAACAATTGTTGAGCTTAATCCCGTGTAGCACAACAATGCACAAATTATGCTGCATTGTCAGCTTACAAGCTTGAAGATATGATAAGATATGCAGGAAGCCCTCCTGGCCCAGGCATTCGACGTTTCGAGGGGACCACTCGTTCCCAGCGAGCCATCACTACTCATCCGTAGACTTGCCCAGAAGATCTACAAGGAAAAAAGGACCCCTGCAATGTTTGCAGGGCCCGCTTGTCGCTCCAATTCGTTCAAACAAGCCTTAATCACCAAACGTACGTAAGGATGTTGTTGCGCTAAACGCTGAAGGCATGCCTGTGCATCAATTGGATCCTGGTGTGACTGGAGAACCTCACTGACCTGCTCTCGAATCCTACAGGGACAAAGCAAATGATTCTAATGCTGGAACAACTATGCCATAATATGTTGTGCAGCTTAATTGAGGTTTCTGTCATGGCCGCCCCGTAGCAGCTACACATGCTACAAGAAGACATAAGAAAACATAAGAAGACACACGTGGACGTTTCAATCTTCCGGCGCGCCAGTCCTCTTGCGTCTTGTCACCTTTGGTCTGCCGGCGTCTTCTTTGGCATGCATCAGGTGACAAAACCCACATCTGTTGCCCAGTCCACAGCCATAGTTGGAAAAGAAGAATACGCAGGGATTGCAGTCACCGGTCATGTGGCCTGCTGCACCCCACGAACGTGCCAGGCGCACGTCTGGCCCCTGGAGCATTGCTGCCTGAAGGCCAGGCTCTAGCTGAAGGCCAGGCTCCAACGGCACCTGGTCCAGGTTTTGAGTTATGAGTTGGTATTGTTTCAAGCAGTAGGCCTTATGCTTTGCAGGTCTCGCTTGTTTGCAAAGGATCTTGCCGCTCGCTGCTAGTAAGTGGATTCGATATGCTTTGATCTTGCTCTACTGACTCTACTGGAATCCGCATTCCAAAGAAAGCACATTGAATGCGTGTCAAAATTAGATGCCAGGACTGCCCGGACCACTGAAAACCTATGTTCCAACCCAACCAATATCGACGGCTGCATGGCTTAATAGCTTGACCAGGGCAAGACACATGGTCCATGGCTCTTTATCGAAAAGCGACCGACCAATCCAGCGACTCACCGACCGAGGCACCTCACCGACCATGGCTCGGGCCGGGTGTGAACAAGCCGATGCTCGAGCCGAGAATTGCCCTGGGCCACCAGTTGCGCTGTGGCACCGGGAAAAACACCGATTTCCATGTCAAGGCAAATGATTGAGGCCTCTCAAAGGGTCTTGTCTTTGTGACCTCTCACGGGTCTTTGTGACCTCTGGGTCTCATGTGACTGATGTGACCTTTTTTCAGGTCTTACATGAGAAGCGGATGGTTCGATGTTCGTGTCTTGGTGCATGTCCGACAGCGTCGGCAGCTTCGTCTAGGGATCATGCAATCGCTTTCTCCGAGGTCCTCTTGTCCCAACATGTCACCAATTGTTGGGCCTCAGAGTGTGTAACTGTGTGTAAATCGATGGCGCAGTCATTTCAGTGAAGTCCACTTGAATGAAGGGGATCCACATGAAGGGGTTAAGTCACATCTAGTGCTTGGGCACGCGGCGAATGTTTTTTCGTCACATCAGGGCGGTTTAAGTCACATCAGGTCATCAAAACATGCCCCACCGCAAGGCAAACGATCAACAAATACGACCTAAAACAAGAATATACGACTTAAATCAACAACTTGTACGGTAGGTTCATTGCCAGGAGTGGAAAGAACCAACGCCATAATCATATCCTCTTTCCATTTTTCCGGATCTCGGTGTTCACAACACCACCAGCAAAGCCCCCCCGTGCCTGCAGGAGCTCGAGTATTTTTCAGGTACCATTTGACCTCCACGTTGGATGGACGGGTGGAAAGGTCCAGGAGGATGGGTCCATTCTATGGTTTGAATGGTTTGATGGGTCCATTCTTTGGTGGAAAGATCCTAACTCCCGATTTATTAGTGGTGTGAATGGTTCCATAGTTCTCCCCACCCCATGAAAGCATAGCTGTGGATGCTGCGCTTCCTACTTTTGGGGACTAGGGGATGTGCGGAAGAACGCCTGGAAACTCCAAGCACCTACCCTCCGCCTTGCAGCCTTGCAGAAAGGAACAGGCCGGTATATTTACAGAAACAAGGATCTTTTCCACAGCCTAAAGCATATCTAAACATGGTAAGTCATTCTTTTTCTCTTGGGTGGGGACAACTAATTACTGGCTTCTTGCCCTTTGTTACTAGTAGCTTCTTGTTCCTAGTAATGCCGGGAGCTACTAGTAGCGTGCAGGAGCGTGTGCCACTCTTCAGCCGCTCGGATCCACGGCCGTTTCAAGAGCCCGCTGGTACCACGTTTCCCTCGGAATCGCCCTGGGGCCGTAAGCCCGTGAGGTGGGTGGTTCGCATCGGATTCATCGGACGTGAAAGGCCTCTGACTGGATTCCGTCAACAAGACCAGCTACAGGAACATCTCGTTATTTGGTGGGGAAATGAAGGGCCGGTTTGACGGTTTGTGGCAGGTACCATGGGAAAACAGCATTTCTTTTTCCTACAAAAAGGTCCGGTCCGCCTACATCCGCCTACCAAATATTTTTGCAGACGTCCTAGTCGTCATGGCTTTGAAACCGCGTGTTGACTTGCTTTGGACTCACTCCTCAGCCCGATGAGAATACTTGGCTGCCCGGCTGCTGATTCGGAGGTGGCCAACAAGGGCACCTCAAACGTCTTGAGGTTTATGGCACGCTCTGGGCTTGAGTGCTTTGACGTGTTCGTCGTTCGTCCCTTTAACGAAACTATAAGAACACATAAATATAGTAGAAGCAGAAGAAGAATAAGTAGTAGTAGTAGTAGTAGGTGGTAGTAGTAGTAGTAGTAGGTAGTAGTAGTAGTGGTGGCGGTAGTAGTAGTGGTGGTGGTAGTAGTGGTGGTGGTAGTAGTAGTAGTAGACTGTGACTTTGAGGGTTGCACAAATGGGTTTGTGAGCTCTGGGGCTCGGGATGCGCGCAAGCACCGGAGATTCTGGTTTCTGTATACTTGGTTTTGGTTGGGCCATCTGCAACAAAGGTCAGGGTGAAACATCCCCGAGTCCAGATTGGGCGAAGCTTCTTTTAAAGATAGCGATTCAGATTCATGAATAGCTATTCCTGCAAAATGTCCAAAAGCATGCATTTTTGTCCACCCATTGAAATGGGTCCCCGCACAATCACATACACAGAACAACAAACTCACATTTTCAATCACCACCTAAAGCAAGGCTCCAATCAGGATCAAGAGTGCAAAGAGTATCGTTTTCGCCGCTGAACAGGGCAACTTTTTAAAATCAAACCTTGGATTGTATTTAAACATATTTATAGAAGCCAACCACAAGGACATAGCATGTGGGTGCCTTGCCTCTTTTTTTCCCGGTCTTTTCCAACATTCCACCTACCAAATCCTTCCCCGCTCTGGATCCGCCCAGCTATCCACAGCTATCCATTGAGGATGCCTTCCAGCAGCACACCTAAGAAACAGGCGCTCACCACTCACCCACTCCGCACCGGCTGTTCGCAAGCTCCTCCGCGCCTCGGAGAACATCTTGGGCTTGGCCCGGATGCTCGTTCGGAAGTTGGGCCTTGGCGGCCACATTTAAATCTGCAGTGGATTGAAAGCGCCTCTGCAGTGGATTTAAGCCAGGACAAGCACAACTGGGAGGTCTTCTGGCATGTATGTATGTATGTACGTACGTATGTACGTATGTAACGTATGTATGTATGCAGGCATGGATGTATGGATGTATGTATGTATGCTGCATATGTACACAGTTCCTTGTTCCCCAGAAGGGCATGCTACTGTTCATGAATCACAATACAAATCTCAGTCTTGTGTTCCGCCGTCCCATTCAGGGACAGCGAACTAGCTGCTAGCTTCTCTCTCTCTCTCTCTCTGTGCAATACAACATGGGAGTCTGCTCACCTCGGACTTGTGCTGAACCAGGCTCAAAAATGCACAGAAATGGAGGGACCAACAAAAAGCAAGAGAAAGCACGAGCATGAGCAGGACGTGGGGTGGTCACAAGGGCGTCTGACTCTGCCCATCCCCCAAACATCCAGGCCCGGCTCAACCCTCCACCAGTGGTGATGAGACCTGCTTTCGGTGCCCCGACCGGAGGTACCGCTCCTGTTTTCAGCGACCAGTGGTTCCGCGACCGGGGGTGAGAGAGACACCGGCCAAAGGGCCTGTCCAAATTGATGTTGATGGTTTTTGGACACCCAAAGCTTAACTCAACATCTTGGGTGTCCGAAAGGGGCTTTGACAAATGGAGTGGGTGTCAACTTAACAAATGGAGTTCCACAGGGGCTGGACCACTTTTGAGGAGGTTTTGGACATCCAAAGCTTCTTGGCATCTTGACAACACTCGTGAATCCTTGCTGAGGTCAAGACCGGCTACACAATACCACAAACGAACCCAGACTGCTGAAGGCACCATCTCAACTGCTTGAAACGGATGGAGTGTGGATCAAAGCGGTATGGCCACCTGGAATACACCAGGCCACTCCGAACTCCGTAGTTTGAAGTACTTGTCCGTCCATCAGTACTCCACCTCATCCCCACCCTGGCCAAGACAATCCCGCGCCACTTGGATCTGCGTTGAACGCCTCTGAAGCTGGTCATGTTTTTGGAGCGCAGGAGATCGCGCAGAATCTTGAAAGCTTGAAGCGCTTGTGCCCACGGCCAGCGCTTGTGGACTGGGCCCTTTGTCCCATCGCAAGATTGGCCGTCGCGACGCGTTGCATTGGTTGTTTGCAAATGTGAACTGTAGGGTTTATCGGACCTTGGTGCTGGGCTTCTAGATGCTTCTACAGGCATTCTCCCATGCTGAAATGATGAGCCGGGCCACAAGGATGTGTATAGTGTACCCCATTTGGGGTGCTTAGACGGAAAAATTTGGCTAACCTATGACGGCAACGTGGCACCCCGCCTGTCAATATCTCACTTCTTGCAAGCTGCTGCAATCTCCTTGCACTTCTTCA